TTGGCATTCGCTCCTACAAGTCGAAGTGGGCACCCGCGTACGCTTCTTGGGAGCACCTGCGCAACTCATACATGGCAACAGATCCCGTTACAATGAGTCACCTACTCAGCCAACTTACATCGGTTAAAATGCAACAAGGGGAGAAAGCGAGACCGTATATCAATCGTGTCAGAATGTTATAGTGCTTACATTTGTGTAGGCTATAGTGGGGTAGCCCATAAGGGGTACAACCCAATTAGGGTTAGTACTTGTACCCAACTCTTTCATAGTTCATCCATTCTCGTTCATTCTTCTGACATGGTTTCAGAGCAGGTTCTTCGCTAGGACCGTTTTATTCCTTGGGCCCATCACAGCGCTACCCCGCTAGCCGCCCTCTGCAGCCCTCGTGCTGCCCCTACCGCCAGTCGCCCCTAGGCCGGCCCGTCGCCCCTAGCCCGGCCCGTAGGCCCGTCGCTCCTAGCCCGGCCTGTCGCCCCTAGCCCACGCGCCCCGGCCCGTCGCTCCTAGCCCGGCCCGTCGCCCCTAGCCCACGCGCCCCGGCCCCTCGCCCGACGCCCCTACGCCCGCGACGGACGCCCCTACGCCCCGGCCCATCGCCCGACGCCCCTAGGCTCGCGCCAGTCGCCCCTAGCCCTGGCCCGTCGCCAGTCGCCCTAGGCCCGCGCCTGTCGCCCCTAGGCCCGTCGCCCCGGCCCGGCCCGTCGCCCCTAGCCGCGGCCCGTCGCCCGTCGCCCCTAGGCCCCGGCCCGTCGCCCATCGCCCGTCGCCCGTAGGCCCCGGCCCGTCGCCAGTCGCCCGTCGCCCCTCGGCCCGTCGCCCCTAGGCACCGGCCCGTCACCCGTCGCCCCTAGGCCCCGGCCCGTCGCCCGTCGCCCGTCGCCCGTCGCCCCTCAGCCCATCGCCCCTAACCTAGGCCCGTCGCCCGTCGACCCCTAGGCCCCGGCCCGTCGCCCCTAGCCCCGGCCCCTTGCCCGTCACCCCTAGGCCCCGGCCCGACGCCCGTCGCTCCTAGGCCCGTCGCTCCTAGCCCCGGCCCGTCGCCCGTCGCCCCTAGGCCCCGGCCCGTTGCCCGAGGCCTCTGCTGCCCCTCGCCCCTCGCCTCTGCAGCCCGCGAGCCGCCCTTGCAGCCCCGCGCGCCGCCCTTGACGGGCCGGGGCGACGGGCCTAGGGCGACGGGCCTAGGGGCGACGGGCAGGCCGCACGAGGGCGGCGCTAGGGACAGTAGGCGCGGCACGAGGGTCGCTAGGTGCAGCTAGCGGGGTAGCGCTGTGGTGGGCCCAAAAGAAAACGGTCCTAGCGGAGGACCTGCTCTGAAACCATGTCAAAAGAATGAACGAGAATGAATGCATTGAGCAGAAGTTGGGTACAAGTACTAAACCCTAATTGGGTTGTACCCCTTATGGGCTACCCCACTATAGCCTACACAACTGTAAGCACTATAACATTCTGACAGTCATGTCGTAGTATTGTGATTGTCAATTAGTGGTAAGTTTCAAGCAGCAGCGAGACATTCAGTGAGACAGGAGAGCGCATAGCTCAGTGCTCGACGGTGCATGTAGCATTGACCATTTGTATTTACATCAACTGGCCATCTCATGACCGACTTTTTCTTCCTGTGCACGTTCTGCCAGACTGCTTCTGTTGCCTGGCCATCAAGCCCCTAGATTTCAGCCTTTTTACGCTGATTCAGCCTTTTTCAGCCTTTTTTTATGTACCAAGGCTGATTCATCAGCCTTTCCCCCAAGAAACTGGGTGATTTTCTAGTGGTTTTTAGTAGAAAATGGCAATTTTGGCTGATTTTCAGCATAAATGTGGCAGTGAACTCTGATTTTTCACCCTGCCCCAAAACCAATATAGGGCCCTGCTAGCCATGTTGCATTGACTGCCCGATTTTACCCACACATTGGCTAGTCTCGCAAAATTGACGAGAGGAAAAGCAGGCATGTGACGAATGTGATGCTCTTTCAAGGAGTTAACCTACACTGGTGAAACGGATGCACAGTGAGGGGGAGGGTGATGGTAAAGTGACATGTACTAACACGCACCAAAGAGCATAGAAGAGGCTGAAGCCCGCCTATCAATCAACTTACTCGCTTAGCAATGGCTGTGTGTATGCGCCCATGCCCATGCTCATCCTCATGCTCATGAACATGCCCGTGCACATGCCCTTGCCATTGCCTGCCCATTTCCCGTGCCTGCCCATTGCCCATTGCCCATGCCCATGCGCGACCACTTCCCATGGCCATGCCTTCGCCTCCCACTTGTTGAACCGGCCCCATCAAGTCAGCATCGCCATTCCCATTGGCCAAACTCACCCGTTGCCAACCTCTCCTACTACAATGTCACCCGCTGCCCGATGTCACCCGCTGCCCGATGTCACCCGCTGCCCGATGTCACCCGCTGCCCGATGTCACCCGCTGCCCGATGTCACCCGCTGCCCGATGTCACCCGCTGCCCGATGTCACCCGCTGCCCGATGTCACCCGCTGCCCGATGTCACCCGCTGCCCGATGTCACCCGCTGCCCGATGTCACCCGCTGCCCGATGTCACCCGCTGCCCGATGTCACCCGCTGCCCGATGTCACCCGCTGCTCGATGTCACCCGCTGCCCGATGTCACCCGCTGCCCGATGTCACCCGCTGCCCGATGTCACCCGCTGCCCGATGTCACCCGCTGCCCGATGTCACCCATTGCCAAACCTCACCCGCTGCCCAATGTCACCCGCTGCCCTCCCAAACCTCACCCGTTGCCAAACCTCACCCGTTGCCAAACCTCACCCGTTGCCAAACCTCATCCGTTGCCAAACCTCACCCGTTGCCAAACCTCACCCGTTGCCAAACCTCACCCGTTGCCAAACCTCACCCGTTGCCAAACCTCACCCGTTGCCAAACCTCACCCGTTGCCAAACCTCACCTATTGCCAAACCTCACCCGTTGCCAAACATCACCCGTTGCCAAACCTCACCTATTGCCAAACCTCACCCGTTGCCAAACATCACCCGTTGCCAAACCTCACAAACCTCACCCGTTGCCAAACCTCACCCGTTGCCAAACCTCACAAACCTCACCCGTTGCCAAACCTCACCCGTTGCCAAACCTCACCTCTTGCCAAACCTCACCCGTTGCCAAACCTCACCCGTTCCCAAACCTCACCCGTTGCCAAACCTCACCTATTGCCAAACCTCACCCGTTCCCAAACCACACCCATTGCCAAACCTCATCCGTTGCCAAACCTCACCTATTGCCAAACCTCACCCATTGCCAAACCTCACCCATTGCCAAACCTCACCTATTGCCAAACCTCACCCGTTCCCCAGCTGCCGGTTTGGGACATCTCAAAACTCTCCTCACCTGCCCAGCTCCACAGCTCTGGTGGTGCGCATGGTGGGATCTGCCACGTACGCCCTCACCACTACTCCATGACATAGTACGTAGTTGTGCCAGCTGCCTCACTGAACCTCCCCTTTTCAAGCTGACGCCTCACCTGCCGAGCTCCACGGCTCTGTTGGTTGGCGTCGTGTTATTGGCCACATACGCCTTCACCACTACTCCTTGACATAGTACCTAGATGTGCCAGCCGCCTCACCTGCCCAGCTCCACCTGCCATGACCCAAACAAGCTGGCACCTCACCTGCCCATCTCCACGGCTCTGTTTCCGGCTGTGGTGTGATCGGCCACATACGCCTTCACTGCATTCATGCTGTGCTTGGCGATGCACAGTAGCACTCGGGAGATGACTACCATCTGAATGGAGCGAGAGGTTGTAAGGAAGGTTTGAACTGGTGTTCACACAAGGCGTGGGGTTGCTGGGAGGCCACATACGCCTTGAATGCATTCATGCTATGCTTGGTTATGCCGAGTAGCACTCGGGAGATGATCACCATCTGGAGGGAAGCGGGAGGGGGGTTAAAGAGGCATTCGAGAGGTTGTAAGGAAGGTGGTAAGGGGATCACAGGAGGTGGGGTTGCTGGGAGGCCACATACGCCTTGACTGCGTTCATGCTGTGCTTGGTGATTCCTAGTAGCACTCGGGAGATGACTGTCAGAATGTATTTGCTGTCTAGCCTGCAGTGGGGTACTCTGTAATGAGTACACCCCAATTTAGGGTGTTGTATTTGTATCCCAACTCTTGCTAGTGAAACCACTCATTCTTCCTTCTCGACTTTCCTCACCCAAAATTCCCTCGACACTTATGCCCTGAACCCAAGCCATGGTTCTTAAGTCAAGCTACTATTCTAACATGGTATTAAGAGCAATAAGTTCTAGGACCTAAGATCAATGGGCCCACCACCTAATGCCCTGCTAGCCTAGGCCCCGGCCCGTCGCCCCTTGGCGTAGCCCCTAGCCCCTAGGCTCGGCCCCTTGGCCCCGTCGCCCCTAGCTATGACACTCGGCCCCGTTGGCCCCGTCGCCCCTAGCCGCGCCCCTCGGCCCCGCTGGCCCCGTCGACTCCGTCGCCCCGCGCCCGGCCCGTACTTAGCCCGCGATTGGCCCGTACCTAGCCCGCGCTCGACCCCGTTCCTAGCCCCGCGCCCGGCCCGTACCTCGCCCGCGCTTGGCCCCGTACCTAGCCCGCGTTCGGCCCGTACCTAGCCTCGCGCTCGGCCCCGTTCCTAGCCCCGCGCCCGGCCAGTACCTAGCCTCGCGACCGGCCCGTACCCTGCCCGCGCTCGGCCCCGTTCCTAGCCCCGCGCCCGGCCCGTACCTAGCCTCGCGACCGGCCCCGTCTCTCGCCCGCGCTCGGCTCGTACCTAGCCCCGCACCCAGCCCGTACCTAGCCCAGCGCACGGCCCCGACCCTAGCCAGCGCCCGGCCCCGTACCTAGCCCGCGACAGGCCCGTACCTAGCCCGCGCCCGGCCACGTCTTACGCCTGCGCCCGGCCCCGTCTCTTGCCCGCCCCCGGCCCGTATCTAGCCCCGCGAACGGCCCAGTCCCTCGCCAGCGCCCGGCCCCGTACCTCGCCCGCGACCGGCCCGTTCCTAGCCCCGCGCCCGGCCCGTACCTAGCCCGCGCCCGGCCCCGTACCTGCCCAGCACCCGGCCCCGTCCCTAGCCCGCGCCCGGCCCGTATAACGCCCGCGCCCGGCCCCGTACTTGGCCCGCGCTCCGGCCCCGTACCTGCCCAGCGCGCGGCCCCGTACCTGCCCAACGCCCGGCCCCGTACCTGCCCAGAGCCCGGCTCCGTACCTGCCCAGCGCCCGGCCCCGTACCTGCCCAGCGCCCGGCCCCGTACCTGCCCAGCGCCCGGCCCCGTTCCTGCCCAGTGCCCGGCCCCGTACCTGCCCAGCGCCCGGCCCCGTACCTGCCCAGCGCCCGGCCCCGTACCTGCCCAACGCCCGGCCCCGTACCTGCCCAGCACCCGGCCCCGTCCCTAGCCCAGCACCCGGCCCCGTACCTGCCCAGCGCCCGGCCCCGTTCCTAGCCATGGCCCCGTTGCCCCTAGCCATGGCCCCTCGCGACCTGCCGCCCCTAACCGCGGCCCCGGTGCCCTGTTGCAACATGGTGGGTGAGGGGGTGGCAAGAGGGGGTTCCTCCTGCCCGCGTGCCCTACAGTCGCACGCGCAGCTCCGCCCCCGCCCCCCCCCCCCCCCCCCCCCCCCCCTCCATGGGGATGGCGGGGAGAGGGTGTGAGGGGGTGGCGGATGTGCATCAGCAGCACCAGCTGCCGCCATGCCTCCTCCTCTCTCTCTCCCTGCCGCACCTTGTGTTGGGAGAGGGGGGGGAGCTTGGAGGTTCAGGGGGAGGGAGGAGGGGATCTGCAGCACCAGCCCCCCCCCCAACCCTTCTCCTACCTCCCCCTGCTGCGGGTGCAGCAGAAGGGGGGAGGGGATCTGCAGCACCGACCCCCCCCCCCCCCCCCCCCCCCCCATCCCCTCCCCCCCCTCATCCTTCTCCTACCTCCCCCTGCTGCGGGTGCAGCAGTGGGGGGGAAGCGATCTGCCATCCCCCTGCTGCGGATGCGGCAGTTGGGGGAGGGGACCTGCAACACCAGCCCCCCCCCCCGCCCCCCCCCTTCTCCTCCATCTCTCTGCTGCGGGTGCAGCAGTGGGGGGGAGGGTATGGGGGTGGCGGGTGTGGCCAACCTGCTGTCGCCCGAGCGGCTCCTGCACCGCCCCTTCTCCTACCTACCCCCTGCTGCGAGTGCAGCAGTGGGAGGGGAGGGGATCTGCGGCACCAGCCCCCCCCCCCCCCCCTTCTCCTACCTCCCCCTGCTGCGGGTGCAGCAGTGGGAGGGAGGGGATCTGCAGCACCAGCCCCCCCCCCGCCCCACCCCCCCCTCCCTCCCTTCTCCTACCTCCCCCTACTGTGGGTGCAGCAGTGGGGGGGAGGGGATCTGCAGCACCAGCCCACCCCCCACCCCCACCACCCTCCCCCTTTTCCACCATCCCCTGCTGCAGGTGCAGCAGTGGGGGGAGGGTATGGGGGTGGCGGGTGTGGGTGCAACTGCGGGGTGGCGGGTATGGGGGTGGCGGGTGTGTGAACCGTCCCCTCCTCCTCCTCCACCTTCGTCTCCCACTGCTGCAGCTGCCGCTGAGGGGGGTGGGTGTGTGGGAGCCGAGGGAGTGGTGCTAGGGGGGTGACGTGGGAGTGGAGCTAGGGGTGCAGCAAGCGGTGTGTGTAAGGGGGGTGGGACAGTTGAGGGAGGTTGAGCAGAGGCTGCTGTCTTGTCGTCCGCAGCACCTGTAGTCCGGGGCTCTGCTTCTGGTAGCTCAGAGAGCCTGCTGCGCCTATTGCCCGTGGGTCTGTTGCTCCTGCCGCTCAGAGTTAGCCGCAGAGCCAGTTACTCCTGTAGTCGGGGGAAATGTGCTCTGGTAGCCACCGTGCGCGCCGCTCCTGTTGCCCGTGTGTCTGCAGCATCAGCCGTCGCCTCCTATCTCCTCTCCTCTCACAGTCCAGCCTCCTCCTCACTTGCCTTTTGTGTATGCCTCTAGCTTTGCTTGTACTTGTGAACCTGCTCTATGACTGCTTGCTCTGCTGATTATACCCCACTTTGACTATGGGGGTGTGTCAGAATGTATTTGCTGTCTAGCCTGCAGTGGGGTACTCTGTAATGAGTACAACCCAATTTAGGGTGTTGTATTTGTATCCCAACTCTTGCTAGTGAAACCACTCATTCTTCCTTCTCGACTTTCCTCACCCAAAATTCACTCGACACTTATGCCCTGAACCCAAGCCATGGTTCCTAAGTCAAGCTACTATTCTATCCTAAGTCTGGAGGGATGCGGGGGTGGATTAAAGGAGAAGCTCCAGAGGTTGTAAGACAGGTTTGGAGGGTTATCCACAGGAGGTGTAAGGGAGGTGAAGGGTGGTGAAGGGTGGTGAAGGGTGGTTTAGAGAGAATTTTAAGGAGGCTGAAAGGAGGATCAAAGGCGGTTCAAAATAGGCCAGATCGTGCCAAACAGTGTCTGCAACAGCCGAATCGACACTGAACGAATCGCATAGTTGCAAAGTGAAACCGTCCAAGAAAACGAGCCGAACAGAATTTCACTTGCGAGAGGACATGTAGGGAAAGAGGTCACATGTGCATTGGGAGTGAGGCATGAACACAACAAGGAGAGATGAAAATCCTATCCGGAACAATTGGTTCCACTCACTTCAAACTCGTCACGTGCTGTGTCCCGTGTCTCTCACCGTTCCAGTGCTGCTCTGCCCTAGCAGCAGATAGCTCGCCCCCATCCCCCCCCCCCCTCAATACCCTTCCCCTCTTCATCCCCCGCCCCCCCCCTTCTTCTCTTCACTCACCGTGACACTGCTGCTCTGCCCTAGCACGGTAGCACCAGGTAGCTGGCCCCAATCTTCCCCCCCATCCCCCGCCTCTCACCCCCCTTCTTCTCTCACCGTGACACTGCTGCTCTGCCCCAGCAGCAGATAGCTCGCCCCTGCGCCAGCATATAACACCAGAATCACAACCCGCCTGCCCATGCTGTCACTCAGCAGACCCTGAGGGGAAACGCGGGGGCACAATGAGAGAGGGAGCAAAGGGAAGAAGGCAACAGGTGATGTTTTGAGTTGACTCCAAAGTTACCGTTCGCCTGCCCATGCTGTAACTCAACAGACTCTGAGAGAGAGGACACGCGGAGAGCGAGGGAAGAGGGCAACAGGTGTTCGTTAGAAGCAGGTAGCTCGCCCCTGCGCCAGCATACGACATTAGAATCACAACCCGCCTGCCCATGCTGTCACTCAGCAGACCCTGGGGGAACACACGGAGATGTCAAGAGACAGGCAGCGAGGGAAAGAGGGAGGGCTATCGGTATTTGTTTAGATTCGAGGAAAAGAGGTCACACACACGCACCTCAAGCCGCCAGCAGCAAGCAGCTCGTGTCGAGACCAGGCACAGCGTGGAATGCTGAGATGAGAAATGGTTCACTGTTCAGCGTGAGCGGTGTTTTGAGACGTCTCAAAACACTTCTTTATAGAAATGGTTCACTGTTCAGCGCGAGCGGAGAGTAAGAAAAGGGGAGCGAGGCTGGCTTACAAGAATGGGCCAGTAACGAGTTGCACAGCTCCATATGTAGACGAGAGGAAGCCGACCTGTAAAGGGGACGCTCCTAGCATGAACAGCGGTTTTCAGTGGCAGCACACCCAGTACGGGAGGAGCAGGGAGCAGGGGAGGAGTGGGGGGAGGGAGACGAGGGGGCAGGGGGTAGGGCCAGGGGGAGGGTCAAGAGAGGCAGTAGAAGTTGGATTGTTGGCAGCAACAGCACAATCTTACAATGAAATTTCAAAAAGCCAATGGATAGATTCTGTCAGCAGAGGAAACACTGAATTTTAAAATAATTAGCTCACCTAGCTCCTTGATTAGCGACGTAACGAGCGGCATGGCCATGCCAACTGCAAATAGGTCCAGGAACACGACAACCAATATTACGACGCCACGTGGCACGCCCTTCTCTGCGCCCACTGCTAACATCCCCTCCCTTATCCGCACAAGCCTTCTCCCCCCCGTTACAACATCCTGCCCGTCCCCGTACTCGTTATTGCCCGTCCCTTTATAAGCGCCTTTCTCCAAAAGGGCATCCGTCTCTCTGCCCGTCGAGTCGCCGTTGTACATCCGCGATACTGTTTCGTCGCTGCTACATACGTCGCCTCCTTCAACGCTTCCGCCAGTCTTTTGCGCGGAACTCTCCGCCGTCCGCCATATCTCCGCCAGTAACCGCTCCCCCTCATCATTCATTTCCGCTTCCCCCACCCGCGGCATTCGCACTCCACACTTGAATCACACTGGCGCCATTGTCAGAGGTCCACTGGTGATCCCCGATTGATCCTAGGGAAGGGTTACAGGCATGTTGGCCTGGGGGGTTATGGGCGCACTGACCCGCTACTTAACAAGCCCTTTTATCCCAATGGTCTAGTGGTTGGGATTCTGATATGTTATCAGAGCGAAGGTCTCGGGTTCGAATCCCAGTGTGTGCACCTCGGGCATCCCAGTGCGGGGGGGTGTCAGAGGTCCACTGGTGATCCCCGATTGATCCTAGGGAAGGGTTACAGGCATGTTGGCCTGGGGGGTTATGGGCGCACTGACCCGCTACTTAACAAGCCCTTTTATCCCAATGGTCTAGTGGTTGGGATTCTGACAGCCATCAGCTGCAGCACTTATTTCACAATGATTCCCCGATATACGCTGATCGAATAAATAAGTAAGCCATGGAGGGTCAGGGTCAAGCACACGAATCTGGCGGTACCTAGAAACTTATAATCGGAATTGCAGGAATCGCGAAATCGAGACCTAATTACTCTTGCTATCGCATTGCTAGTGACGACCTGAGCACCAGGTTCTATCCCGTGAAGGCTGCATGCCTTCTGAGTGTTGGGTTGAGTAAAAGCCCTTAGGATCTTTGCAGGACAGAATTCAAGGGTAGGACAATGTAATAGCGGAAGCGTTTAATAAAAGGATTGTGAACCACCTTGCGCTGGTATGTGAGGGCAAAGTTGATTGATTAAAACAAAGAGATACAAGCTTTTATAAGAATACAAGGGAATATGAAAGGTTATAACTAATAACCGTTTTACCATTGCTGTTGCGGTTCGATACAGTGTCGACTCGGGCAACTGCTCAGTAGCGAGTCAGTTGTTTGTCCTTGCTGTCGCGCTGTACTTTGTCAGGTCAAAGGTCGCTGACCTTTGACTTTCGCGTAACCTCCAGCAGTTGTTCAACCTCCGAGGGTTGACTCGCTGATGCTTCGATATATTTGCTTCGCTTCTGACTTGGTGTTTCGACACGACAGAAGCGCTTAAATCAATTGTTTCCAACACTCCCCTTCGCTTCTGGAGTGTCGCTGCTGGTGACGTGGCTCTGTCCAGTCAGCAGCATGCAATATTCGAACTTCGACTTTCCAAGCTTCTTGGTCAAGTAATCAGCTGCCATCTCGGATGTGGGGCAGTAAGACAGCTCAAGTCTCCCCTTCTCGATCTCGTCCTTTACGAAGAAATATCGCAGGGCGATATGCTTCGTCCTGTTCGCGAATCCGTTTTTGTTGGCTATGCGAATTGCCGACTGGTTGTCACAGAACAAGGAGAAGCTGGGTAACTGAGCCAGCTTCGCTTCCTCCAGGAGTTCGCGAAGGTACAATCCTTCCTTGGTGGTTGAACAGAGTGCGATATATTCTGCTTCGGCTGAGGAGAGAGCGATTAATTCCTGCTTACTCGACTGCCACGAGATAGGTCCGATAGGCTCGAGACGGTAGATGTAGCCTGTGCGCGAGCGCCTGTTGTCAGAATCCCCGGCGTGGTCGGCGTCGACGTAGCCGATTAATTTGGGCGTTGTAGTTCTGTTCTTGTAGTAGATCAGCCCGATCGTTGGAGTACTAACGAGGTAGTGAAGAGCACGGTCTAGTGTGGAAAGAAGAACGTGAATGGATGAACTATGACTGAAGTGAGTACATATAGGAAACCCTAATTGGGTTGTACCCCCTATGGGATACCCCACTATAGCCTACACAACAGCATAAGCTATATAATGTTCTGACACACCCCCATAGGCAAAGTGGGGGAGAACAAGGGGTCACAAGACCAGTCACGCAAAGCACAGCAAGCTCAGGGTGGATCACAAAGTCACCACACAGTACGAGCACAACGACAAGGCCACAAGGCCAGTTCACATGCAGGAGGACACACATATATATATAGAGCTAGACAAGCAAGAGCAGGTATATATATGTGACAGTACAAGCAAGGTCAAGAGGAGAGCAAGTGAGGCAAGACAGGTACAAGACCCAACTGAGTGCAGAAGCGCTGATGGTCACAAGGCGCAAGTGCCTTGGTGAACACATCAGCAGTGTTGGCCTCAGAGGCCACGTACGCAAGTCGCAACTGACCACGCTGCTGCAGCTCACGAGCAAGAAAGTAACGGAGAGCAATGTGCTTCGTTCTGTGCTCCAAGCGCTGCTCTCGACACAAGGCCAGCATGGCCTTGTTGTCTACGTACAGCACTGGAGGAGAACGAGGCTGCTCTCCAAGGTCAGTCAGCAGGTAGGTGAGCCAGCGAAGCTCCTGTGCAGCCATGGCCCCGGCGTAGATCTCAGCCTCACAACTGGAGCCGAGAACAGAGGACGAGCGAGTAGCCCGCCACGAGACAGAGCCGGAACCAAGACTGAAGGTGTAACCCTGCGACGACCGCTGCGTAGCCTGGTCGTCAGCCCAAGAAGCGTCCGCGTGCCCAGTGAGGACCACTGGACTCCGCCCTCCAAGCACTAGCCCCATGCCCGACGTACTGCACAAGTAGCGCAACACCCTCTTCGCTGCAGCCATGTGCTCTGGTCGGTGTCTCCCAGGAGCAACATAGCGTGCAAGAATGCTAAGAGGGTATGCAAGGTCAGGTCGTGTGCAGGTCATCAGGTACATGAGGCAGCCAACAAGCTCTGGGTACGGGCCACTCGACTCTACGGACTCATCCGAAGGCAGAGCTGAGAGCGAGTGGCGAGTAGACAGAGGAGTGGCCTGAGGCGAGGAGTACGTGAAGCCGAAGCGCTGAAGGACCTGCTGCACCATGTGTGACTGAGTCAAGGTAATGGTGCGGCGTGCTCTGTCCCGAGTGATCTGCAAGCCAAGGTAGCTGCGCAGTTCACCCAGGTCTGTGCACGTGTGTCTCTTCTGCAGCTCGGACTTCACGTAGGCTAGTCCAGCAGTGTCAGCTGTGGCAAAGACCAAGTCGTCGACGTACACGAGGATGTAGAACGGCGGCAAAGAAGTGTCGGTGCGCAGAAACAACGACGGGTCAGCAGTAGAGGGAGCAAACCCAAGAGCCGCAAGCGTAGTCCTCAGTGTGTCGTGCCACTCACGCGGTGCCTGGCGGAGACCGTAGACTGGCCGTCGGAGGCTCCACTGGGTGCCAGGAGGGAAAGTCCCAGTGAAGCCAGGTGGACGGCGCAGCCAGATCTCCTCGTGCAGGCTACCCTGCAAGAAAGCAGTGCTGAAGTCAAGAGAGTGGAGCTCGTAGTCGCGCTGAGCGGCTATGTGCAGCAGCACCCGAAGAGTGGTCATCTTCGGGGTGGGAGAGAAGGTCTGAAAGTAGTCAACTCCCTGCCACTGACTGAAGCCACGAGCGACGTACCGCGCCTTGAAGACAGGTGGAGAGCCCGGCGGCCGCTTCACCCTGAAGATCCACATGCCACTGACGATGTTCGCCCCAGGAGGGGGCACCGCGTCAACGTAGGTGCCTGTGGACTTCCAGGACGCCATCTCTGCATCCATAGCTGCCTGCCACTGAGAGGAGTAGGGACCCTCTACGGCCTCCGCGTAAGAGCGCGGAGTCGGGATGTCTAGTGCATCCGGGTCTCCCTCAGGGGCAAGTAGTACGGACGCGAGATGAGGTGAAGCAGCAGCCAGACACTGGAACTCCTCCTGCCTGTCCTCAAGGACGTCCGTGCCAAGAGCACACTCACCCCCGACGGACGGAGGACAGACAGACGCAGACTCAGCAACAAGACCGGCAGCGTAGTCTAGACGACAGCGAGCAGCAAAGTCGACGAGCTCAGCAACAAGCGCAGACGCAGCAGTGGACTCAAAAGAGGGGTCAGTGACGACAGTAGCAAGGAGACGTGTGACAGTAGGACTAGCAGCACGAAGAGAGTCGGACTCTGGGTCAGTAAGTGCAGGAAGGGAGGACTCAGGAGGAGAAGGCAAAGGGGCACGCAGAGGAGCAGTGGACGGACGCAAAGACATCCGGTGCGTGCCAGGGACAGGAGGAGGACGCTGACGCGAACCGCGACCACTAGCGCGAGCAGCACGAACAGGCGACGCAGGACGAGACGCAGGCTCACGACGCTCAGCAAGACCTCCAGTGGGACCAGTGTAAGGAGAGGGAGCAGGAAGTGGGGAGGCGGGCTCTAACTGGGACTGTGACTGAACAGGTGGTGGACACGCTGCAGGAGGAGAAAGACCAAGAACCTGCTGTAGGAGTGGAACGAAGTACGGCCGAGGCCGCGCGGCGACTCCAGACACAGCAGGGACAGCACCCTCAGCAGCAGCACCAGCGCCAACAGCACCTCCAGCGGCAGGACCTCCAGCAACACCAGCAGCACCCGCAGCAGGACCACCGCCATGAAGGACAGCAGCAGTCTCAGCACCAACACCCGCAGCAGCTCCAGCTCCAGGCGGACCCGAGGGCCCAGCAGCTCCGGGACCAGCGGCACAAGTACCCTCAGCATCCGAAGGAGCTCCAGCTCCAGCAGTACGTCTCCAGCGGCGAGCAAACCACTCGCGCAGCTCCTGTGGAGAGAGGGGCTCCCGCCGAGGCGAAGCACCCGGAGAACCGCCAGGTCCCGCACCGCCAGACGCCACAAGGGGAGGTCCAGTGGCCGCAGGCTCCGCAGCTCCAGGCTCAGCAGCTCCAGACGCAGCACCCCCTGGCTCAGCACCCCCAGTCGCAGCACCCCCAGGCTCAGCACCCCCAGAATCCGCACCCCCAGGCTCAGCACCCCCAGTCGCAGTACCCCCAGGCTCAGTACCCCCAGACTCAGCACCCCCAGGCTCAGCACCCCCAGGCTCAGCACCCACGCGCGTAGCACCCCCAGAGTCAGCACCCCCAGGCTCAGCACCCGCAGCAGGACCAGA